TTTGATCTCCTTCCACTAAAAGAGTCATCGCTCCAGGTCCCTAACGATGACTATCCTGAGGTGTTCGTTAAACCATAAAGCACACTATCTCCTGACGTTGCCTTGAAACCCAATCAAAGTTTGGCTTGACTAGTAGAGTGTCTGCCTTGAGCACTGTGCTCTTTTAAGAGATAGGAATATACTGCTGGCACAGTGGCATAGTGCCAGGCTGCAATCCACAAGGTCTACAGTTCAAAGCCACCAGCTACTCCTTGGGAGAACGACAGGCTTTCTTCTCCCAGAAAGAGTGACAGTCTCAGAAACTCACAGGGGGCAGTTCTACTCTGCCCGATAGGGTTGCTATGAGCCGGCATCAACTGAATGACAGTGTGCTTATGTTCTTTCTTGGGTGTGGGATCGAACTGACAACAGCTACTCAGAAGATTAGACAGAAACTTTGCTGGGGGGTGTCGTGATTTTATGTTAATCCAGGGAGGAACAACCTGAAAAAGGAGCATGAGGATGGTTGGTTGCGCAACAGGAAGCGTGCAACTGACGTCCCTGAATAGTGCAGTCGACGTTCCTGAAAAGTACATGCAGAAACTGTTGAACTAGTGTGTGCTCTGCAGTGAACAGTCTCAAACGACTGCAGACAGGGAGATGGCTGGGTTTGTGTTCTGACTTGGGCAACTCATAGCACCTCTCTGTGCTTCTGTCTCATCCTTAAAATGGGTATGAAAGCATCCCAAAGACTTGCTGTAGAGAACGAAGATGACAAACGTCAGGAGGAAGCCTAGCTGTGTAGTAAGGACCACATAAAAATGAGCTGTGATTATAATATACTATCATTCACACATCATATAGTATAGCGTATGTGGGATGATAAAGAGACTTCCCAAGCGTTGTCTCCCACAAAGACATGATGGGGGAACCCCCTCACACAACTTTCTGAGTCTCTGTCTTACCAACGGAGTTTCCAATTTTCTACCAAACTTCTTCCTCGTAAGCTCCCGTTATTATCTTGTGTCCTAGAGAATCTACCAAGATGATCCCTGGGGATCCCAAAGAAACAGTTGCATAACCCTCTGAGCTGACCCTGCTGCCTTCAATTGAACTGGTCCAGCAGATCTCCTCGGAAGCTAGACTACGACAAGTGTCTTGCTGAGAGAACTTGTCTGCAGCCACCTACCCATCAGAGACATGTTTGCACGCCAGCACCAGAGCCCTGGAGAACTTTTGACTTACCCTCCGGTGTATATACGCACAGACATTCATATGACCTTACTGGTACTGCTTCTCGGGAGAGCCCTGACGGGTACACTTCCCATTTGTAAAACCTCTTAACTCATAGGGTTCTTGAGAATTACATGAGAAACTCTATCGGATCGATCAAGCACCATGTAGCGGAAACAGACTGATGATGCCAAAATACATTCTTGGTCCAAATACTTGTCCATGACCCTATCTGTCCCTGTCAACCAGAGGGGTCCACCGTCGGTGATCTGGTGCAGGAAGGGCCAGTGACCACCTCCAGAAGAGCCCGGGTCACTGCCTTGAGAGGGAGGCTCTACCTTTTTTGAGATGAAAACCCCTAAATGTTCCCTTCTCTCTGAAGAACGACTGAGAATGCTGGAGGTGGTTTCTTCAAGGTGGATGTTCATTCTTTAAATCCACCTAGAGGCAGCTCGGCCAAGTCCCCAGTGACTGGCAGGTGGGGAAAAGTGCTCTGCACTTCAAGAGCCCCCGAAGGAGCTTATCTGCATCTTTGTGGACGTGTTCTAACACCCATCAGGCTGACAGCCCCATCTTTTGACTCTGTGGAGAACGTAAAGACTGGGGATTCGTCCTTACCATTGGGAAGCTGGTCCCAGAAAAAGGGGTAGGGGCATTTCAAGGGGCGATGGAGGACGAGGAAGACAGTTCTTTGGAGAGGGTGGGGGTTGGTGTGAGCATCCAGGAGACCCAAAAGCAGGAGATGGGGAGTAGGGTGAGGT